CCTTCCTTCCTTCCTTCCTTCCTTCCTTCCTTCCTTCCTTCCTTCCTTCCTTCCTTCCTTCCTTCCTTCCTTTTTACAGTATTTTTTTTTAGAAATTACAGTTAAAAAGATAAAAACTAACACAAACTAAGAAAAAGAAAAGAACAAAAAGAAAACATAGAAAGTGCAGAAAAGAAATAGTACAAATATAGTAAAGGAAAGGAAAAGAAATATACAAAGAAATGACTTCCCCCTTCATCACTACAGGTATAAACAATTTTAGTAATTTATCACCTTCTCTTAAAATACAATAAATGATCTCTTCTTCCCATGTCCTATCTCTTATCTATAAACAAATCTTTAAAGCCTCGTCATTCAGTCCTGATCAGTAAAAGTCCATTAAGGGTTACCAGAGAGAACAACATAGCTATTTTAACCTTGATCAAATAAACCAACTTTATATTCCTTCCTTTTACTTTTAACAATCTTAATCTTTAGTCCCTCCAAATAATGTCCTAGAACTGGATTTTTTTCATTTTTTCTTTGTTCCTTCTCACAAAATTCTTCAAAGCTTTAACAAGTCTCTTTTATAAATGCAATATAGGAAAGTTATCCTGGTCACTATCAAATAAACCAACTTTATATTCCTTCCTTTTACTTTTAACAATCTTAATCTTTAGTCCCTCCAAATAATGTCCTAGAACTGGATTTTTTTCATTTTTTCTTTGTTCCTTCTCACAAAATTCTTCAAAGCTTTAACAAGTCTCTTTTATAAATGCAATATAGGAAAGTTATCCTGGTCACTCTTTTGGTTTGTTACTTGTATATCCCGTTTAATTATTAAGACATCAGTGGGTTTCATTTTTATGTCCAGTGTAGCATCTCTTTCTATGTCATTCTTGCAACCTGTCATTTTTAAATGCACTTTCAGATCAGTCCCAGTCTTGTCCAGTAAAACGTGTTCCTCTTCCATAGCATCTTTTAAACACAGGCTATCTATGGAGGCAGACACTCTTAAAATTAACTTCTGGGTCCAGTGTTCAAAAATATCCTTCAGTATATCCAATGTTAAAATATTTCTCTCCATTCTGTATTAGTGAGTCAAATGTAAGTGTTCTTTAATTGTAATCTTTAGTTCCTTCTGGTTCCCTCTAGTGTCCAACCTTCAACATCTCATCCTATCATGTGTTTTTTAAGAGAAGTCAAAATGAAAGCATTTTCCCATGGGAAGGATTCTAATAATTAATCCAAAATCTTATTTCAAAGCCATCTGGACCTTTAGTCCATTTGTAACTTTCCAAAATCAAAGTTCTAATCACACTTTTGCTGTTTATTCCAAAAGATTTTATTTAAGTCCTTAAACTTGTATTTAAAATTTCTTTTGCTAAGAATTATTGAATAGTTAATTCAATAATGAAGGTTAGGCAAACCATGGAGAAGCTTATGGTATGAACCTGTTTGTTTTGTTTTTATTACCAATCAACTTATTACTACCAATCAATTTGTTTCCTTTCTATTGTCTCTTTTTGACCATAAAAAGACCAGAAAACCTCTTCACCAGCAATCAACACCTGGATAAGCAGGGATTATCACCAGACAAACAACCCAGCAGTAACAAACAGCCTAATCTAGGAACTACCAAGGAAAAAACAACTCCTCCAGCAACACTGACAGGGCAAGTTACAGTATATAAACAGAGAGCAAACCCCACTCCTTTCTAGCACTGAAGAGGTTACCTAGTGGCAAGAAAACAACCAAGTATGGAGAACTCCAAGGACTCCACAGTTCAACCCTGAGCTACATATTGTCTTCCACTGGTACTACCAATCTCTCACCGTTGGCTCACAGAAAGGGAAGGAATCTTGCATTCAGAATTCTACCCAGTTGCTCACTAAGCAAACCTTGTTTTTGCAAGCCCTGATTAGCACTTTGTATCTTATTTTCCACTGGGGATTTTTTGTTGTTATTAAGGAGTCCATGGCTACGTATGTGAAAGTATTTGTGCCTGTCTTCTAACTGTTCCAAATGACTTTCTTACCCTCATTACAACATTTCTAGCCCCTCTGTTGTGAAGTTCCCATCAGTCTTAGCTCCTGATCTGTCACATGTATGTGCACTTATACACCTACACACATAGGAACACCACCATTATCTTCTTCACCCCTGGACAGGATCTTGGCTAGATGGAAGCAATTGGATAAGCTGTAAATTGGGCATCTTGAATGTTTATGGCTAGGTCATATCAAAAATTTAGGCTTTCTTAATGATGAGAATTAAATAAGTCTCATACTCTGAACTGCAGCACAGTTTTCCAAAAGAATATATCAAGAGTATACCTGATTACCTTATTTTTGTTAAGTCCTAGAAAGTTATCCAAAGGGAATTCAAGAGCAACTTTGCTCTGAGGGATTATGAATGTTCAGGTCCAACATAGCCAGAGGGCAACACACTAGATACCAAAAGATAAAGTCACCTTTGGATCAGGCTCAGTTCCTGAGATCTTCATGGACGGTTTTCTCGGCAACAACATTAATGTGACTTCCTTTAATTTCTTCCAGGATGTCTTATTGGCTT